TATTATAGAGCATAAATGCTACTCACGGCTCTGGAATAATGACAACTTGGGAATAAAACAGGATGAACCATCAGAAAACCCAGCTTAGATCTATTCATACTATGGTATTACATTATCTTTTACAGAAATTTCTTGTCTTTTTGTTGTCTTTGGCTATATGACCAGCAAACTATTTTGCATAGTAAAGCACCAAAACAAAAGATCACAAAAGATATCTAGCAGGAGAAACAGCTACTCGCCATTTTCATAAAACTCCTATTTATAAGTTCAAGTCACTCTGAGACAAAGGCCACACTTTGTTTCCCGAGTTGAAAACTGTCATGTGTTGCAAAGATGAAATCGTGCAGTCAGTCATCACATGCAGCGATGCCCCGGTTCATCAGGACAGCACGTCTCTTCATCAGACCACACTCAGCTGCTGTGGACACAGCTGCCCTGATGTGAAGATGCTGTCTCAGCCTGTGTCATTTCCTGGCCTCAGCCCCATTGTGACACTGTGAGATGCCCTGTAACGCAAACAGCTGGAGACGTGACCACTGCTAGGGGCCAGCAGGTCAGTCAGGATCCTCTCCAGAAATGCGCCAGCACCTCACGCTGCACATTCAGTCTCACTGGCTCCATGAGGTGTCAAGCAGAGGTGGCCGCGACCGACGACCACGCAAGGTTCTGATGGAGTGCTGGACAGCTACTGTAAATAGAGTTGCTGTTTTCAAAAAACTTTACAACTCAGTTCCCCTGTTTTTTTTCGCATTTTGTTGTGGGGTTCGATTTCTTTTGGCCATCAGTATATATCAAGATATATGGTCTTCCTATTATTTTAATATTTGGATCCACAAATCCAAAGCTGGACTTTCAACCAACTTAGGGGTTCTGTCCATATAGCGTTCTTCTCTCACAGAAAAGCGCTGACAGGGCTAAGGGAAGTGCTCAATCCTAAAGCTTCGTCAGAATAGCGCAGGGATGAAGCAAGTGGGTTTTGTTTCGATGACAACCATTTTTTTGGCAACATATCAACCCTCTGCCATTGTATGACTCTCTGGCATCGTCCTTGTTGTAATAATGTCTGATATACAGCAGAAAAGAGACATGCTTCTCCTCCATTTTCTTTGTTACCATGGTGACAAGTCCCATCCATATGATCAGTTGTCTGGGTGTGACGCACAGCAACACCTGCGCCTTTTCGCAATGAGAACAGCCACAGCGGTCACCCAAAAAAAGGCATGTGCTCTCTTTATAGAGAACAATGCTATAGACAGTCTCAGATCTTTCAAGATGTGAGCAATGCAGGCAAGATGTAATTGGTGTTTTATAATTCTCTAATTTTACAGGGTTGGCTCGTCCAAAGGCGTAGTGGTATTTAGCCATACCTGTTTTTATGTGCTGACAGCTTGAACTCTGAAATTTCTGCCACCACGCCTGATATTTAAGAGATCACAGGAAAACATATCCAGTAGTATCTCCTTGGAACTGGTTAGAAAGAAGTTCCAATGAATTTGGATTAAATGCATAACAAAGTGCATGTGAAGTAACCTTAACCGTTTTTTGGGGGGCTTTTTGTCAAATGCTTTGAGCAGCACAGATTAATTGGTGTAGCAGCAGAAAAAATTCAGACTCAAATTTGCCTTGTGAGCTTTATCATTTGTGTTGTGTTTTTTGTTTTGTTTGTTTTTAATCATGACCAATATGCTGTATGCAAACTTTTTGTGCTATAATGAGAAACAATGCTTCAAAAAGCAGGATTATGAAGTTAGTAAAACCAAAAAGAGTACAGTTAACACAACGCTGGCCTCCTGCCTTACAAGACAGACTCCTAATGACACGCACTCTATTTAATTCTTCTGTTCCGGGGTGGAGAAGAGTTCTTTTTAATTTATCTCCTAGCAGTAAAGTGTGACTGGATTCTTCTGAAAGCATTGCACAACAATTGCTAAAGATTGTGCAAACATGGCAGAAGTTAGAAATTTACATTTCAAAATTTTCAGATTAAGATTATCAGTAAGAAATGTAGCTCCTGATGTTTTAGCTTATTAGCATTTGCAGAAGTCTGTGCGCTTCACTATACTGAAATCCTGGCCATTTGATTTGCTGAACAAACCTTATCACTGCATCCTGCTCATTTGTGTTGTTTAACCCTACTCAGGACTTTCATGTTGCCAGACGTGGAAGGTCTTTCAGGGTCCATTGGACCCTAAGAAAGAATATGTGCAAAGAATTTGTTTACAGACTTTTATACTATGTTAAACACATTTTTTGATCAGTTGATGTATTTTTGGTTCCAAACGCATGACAAATGTCCCTCTTTTATATATATATATGTATATGTGTGTGTGTGTGTGTGTGTGTGTGTGTATATATAAATCTTAAAAAAAAAAACAACAAAAAAACAATACCTGTCACCTAAACCAAATGGCCTGGGGTCCAAAAGACCCCAAAAGTCCTGAATAGGGATAAAAATGAAATGCATCACAAAACACAAACTTGCCATCTGCTGTATTTGTTTTGTACACTTTGGTTTGAGAAGTAATTTTATAAAATTAAGGAGAGGCAAATATAATTTGAAAGTCCTCCATACTTATTAAGTCTGGGAAAGAGCGAACAGAAGCTGACGCCTGACTTTAGAAGCTAAAGTCTGTGTTTAAAGGAAATCACTGAAATTATTAGAACTATTAATCAGTTGTTGACTGTTGTGTGTTTATATGAAAACATGAGGAAACGTAGATAAATATGGCAGTATGTGAGCAAAAACAAAGCGTGTGGAGATCTGAAACCTCACTATCACAATTACTGTAGACTAAATGTGGGTCAAGATGACCCAAGTCGCTTTTTTCGCCTGAGTGTTTTATGTATGTGTGTTGAACTGTACTTCTTCTTCAGTTGCAGCAGGGTGAGAACCTTTCCCAGAGTCTCAGAGGAAGCATCTTACTGGTGGCATGCTGACAATCGTCTTCATGGAAATGTTACAAATCCCCCTTTCACTGTCCAGTGAACTCCAGGTGGAGCCTCATTCTAACATCTGTACTGACGAATCCTCCAGTCCCCTCTGCGCTTGTGCAGCAGCAAGGACTCAATCCTTCCTCTTCTTCCTGCATACCAGCTGCCTAGTCCCTATTCATTCAGAGTGCTCTTCAACCTTAACCTGGTGTGTCTGTGTAACAACTGGTCCAACGTGTGTTTGTGTGAGTTTTGACGTGTAAGGCACTGGAATGTGCAGCAGTAACAAACTTGATTTAAAAACAAGTTTTCTTGGCATACCTGGAAAGGTGCTTGAGGATGACATAGGGGCAAAGAAAATTGTTCTTTGTGTTATGTAAATAAGGGCAGCTCATAGATTATGTGCAGCAATTATTTCAAACTTCTCTCTCGACGTTAAATGCAACTGTCATAAAGTAAATCAGAAAGATGCTTTTCAGAGGTGGTTTGAGCAACAAAAAACCGTGTTAGCCCTACATCCTTATGGCCCGGTGCATGACATGAGGGTCCTTTGAAAAGATTTGTAGCTTTGAGAAAATAATACGGTCTCGGCACTTAGACGTCATTAGGAATGTTTCACAAAACCAGTGTATTTGATGAAGCTGAGGAGCGGTGTGAGTTCTGATTTGCAGAGGACATAGTTTGATGACTGTGAGCAAGGCTTAATACGCACTGCTGCTAATATTTTGTAACTTCGTACAGTTAGACCAGTCACAGTTCAGCTAGACTGTGTTTCAGATGTTAATGGAAAAAAGAGGCATACTTTTTTATAACAGTTAGAAAACACGTTGTTGCATGGTCATGACTTTTTAGCCAAGTTAACTCTGTCCTTGTTAAATGGTAAATGTCGATCGAGCATCTTTAGTGGTTTGCATGTTGACTTGACGTTGAAGAACTTGAGAAAATTATTTCATCCAACAGATCCTGTTGAGCACCAACATTTAATTTTCTAAATGCACTTCCACTCGTGCACTCTATTTGAAAAAAAAGAAGCTTTTGGGCAAAAACCTCCTTCCGTTATGTGGGTATGTGGTCTGTAGGAAAATAACATTTGTATAATGTAGAGTGTATAGTATCTGGTATTTTCAGTTTCCATACATATCCATGTCATACCATATGTCTACCACTTAAAACCTTTTAGTAGTTGACTGAATTGTGTGAAAAAAAAATCATGAACCAAATAAATCAGCGGTTTAAAAAAAAATCAGCTCACAGGGTGATTTACTGTCTACGCATCTGTGTGAGATTTGAGTATCTGATATAAAAAGTTGTTCAATTAGATTTTTAGAAAATTCAAAAAAATAAATAAATGCACCAGATGTTGTTCAGTTATTAAAATGATCAGCAATGTTGTGAACATGTGAACACATTTGTGTCTTACTGTGTTTTTTGTGCAGTTTATCAGGAGAAAGGGACCCTAAAGCTTGATCATGAAGTTCTTTTGCAGCATTTCAAGACGTAGTAGTTCTTCATACTCTTAAAGGCCAGCAGCCTAGTTCACAGTATGAAGCATGTTTTAAGAATGAGAGATTGTTGCCGACAAAAACTTTATGTGTATGTTTTTAGTGAGAACTTTTGAGTTTGCAAAAAACCTCACAAAAATAGATCATCAAGCAGTGTATGCACACCAAGTGCAGCAGCACTCTGCCTACCCATCACAACCCAAGCACACACTTGCTGGGTGTTGGTCATTCAGCAGTTTCCAGTTTTGTGACTGGCTTAAAGTGTGTTTGCTATTACTGGAATCCTAAATCATCACGACTGTTTCAACGGAACATTTTGGACATTTAGATTCAACAGAGGACTAGAAAAGGGAACATACTTACCCACTGCTGACCCCTGCTACTTATCAGTCATCCCAGCAAGAACACATTTGTGTACATATGGTTGTGTGTACGATATGCTTGTGTATGATTGTGTGAGGCACCATAATGATTCAAAGGGGAAGCCAAATCTGTAATGCCAAAAGCAGCACTTTGTGCATGGTGTGTTAAGTGCTTGGATGTGTATGAGTATTGAATGGTACATACACGCTGTGTAAAACTTAGATGATGGTATGGAAGTGGCCTGTACTTCTGTGAGACTGGGGTCGCAGGCTGTAGGAGATGCAGCAGCCTCCTGCTCTCCATCATCCTTCCTTATCTCCACTTCTTCACCTTCCTCCTTTGCTTTTTCTGCCAATCTCTTTGACAACCGACTTGACCTCTGAGCCTGTGATGGAAATATTTGCAGTGGTCAAAAATAAAAACATTTAACAGCAATGACTTTTACCACAGCCTATGTTAAAGACCCAACATCATATTACCTACAAATATCAACTCTCCTCTCAGTCTGGATGCTTACCTTTGCAGCAGGTCTAGCTGGGGCAGCTTTTTTCGGGGGACGTCCTTTTGGCTTGGGCACCTTAGGGCCGGAGAGTGTCTTCATAGTGAAAGCAGCGTGCTGAAGGATGCAGTCAGTGCCACAGTAAACAGAATCGGGTAACGCTTGTTTGGAGCAGCTAGGCCCAATGCACAGAGGGAAAGAGCTGTCTGTCTCCATCTCAGCTTCAGGTTCTGGCTTTGTTATGGGAATCTGCTCCTCCTTCTCCTCTTCATCACCCATCAATACACTCTCCTGAGAACAGATTCTCATCTTTAACCCAAAGAACAGACTTGCTTATTGCTAATCAGTAAGTGTCTAATAATTCAAATATTATACTGATGATGACACATCACACGTTTTGATTAATAACTAACTATTTAGACAAACAGGTTAAACAACTATTTCTTTGTTGCAACTAAAGGTAGTAGGCTGTCTAAAGATCAATGTCAATCCAAATTCAAACCTTAAGGGGTCGCTGCTCCTCTTGTCCCAACCCTTCATCACCAGGAGGACTTGGTGTCAAGCATTCAGGAGAGCTGTACTCAGGTTCTGGCTGAGGGTGAGACTCAGATTGGAGTTGGCTCTGCTTCTTCACAGTGCAGGGGGGGCACGTATACTCTTGCCCTTTCCTCTCTATCTTACGGCCCTCAGTCTCACTGATGCCAACACAGTCACCATGGAACCACTCCTGGCAACTGTCACAGCAGATCATAAACCTGCAAGAAGCAGTGAACAAACAGCAGTGATCAGGAAGTGAAACTCAAAGATGGTTCAGGTATGCAAACCTTTCGAAAGAGCAGTTAAGTCCAACAGATCTTGTTACCAGAAATGAGCATGTACCTCTTATCCTGCTTCTGCCGGCAGATGCAGTACAAAGCATTGGCGTTACATCCCTCAGTGTTTGATATACTTGAATGTTCTCCTATATTCTCAGCATCTTTCGTCTCCTCCTCCTCTGGCGCATCATCATACTGTCCAGGAACTACATCAGTAATTTGGTCTAAATCATTGTCTATGATAATGCAGTCTGAGCTTGATTGTTGAGCAGGACTCATATCAGGATCATTATCAGAGTGAGGAAGTGATGCCTCTATTTCAGGAGAGTTGTGTGGATAATTTTCTTTTTCTTCTTCCTGTAAATGCAGCTGCTCAGGTGGATTAACAAGCATCACGTCATCATCGTTGTCCTCATCATTTGCAATGCGTGACTGAAGCTCTACTGCCCTGCCCCTACCTCTACCCCTCCCTCTACCCCTTCCCCTACCTCTTCCTCTGCCTCTCCCCCTTCCTCTGGCCCTTCCTCTGCCACCTTTCCCCCCTCTTGCCCTTGTGTCTGCCTGCCTGCCATGAGAAGCCAGCTGCTCCTTCATTTGTATCAGAGGCATGTCATCACTGTCTTCTTCTTGACTAGAGATAAAAATCACATCCTGGATCTCCGCCTCAGCCACATTTTCAGGACTAACCGGCAGTTTCATCTCCACGTCACCCATATTATCCGGCACCTCAGTTTCTTCAATAGTCTGTGGATTAGGAATCTTAATGGCATCAGTGGCTTCTAAAATGTCAGGCACTGCCAGTGCATCTGACATTGTCATTGACAGGCCTTCATCCCCACCAAGCAGTGAGAATGCTGTATGGAAGGCAGACCCAAAATCCTGCCATAAGCTAGGATCGAGGCTCCCTCCAGCAGAAGCTTCTGAGGCTGGCTTGCTATCCTCTGAGACAGGTGAGGATGGGGCAGACCACTGGAGGTCCTCTATAACACTCCTAGCTGTTTGGGCAGGTCTCTCTGTGGAGGGGGTCTCTGTAGTGGTTTGGGGTGTCTGGTAAGTTCTACGACCTCTGCCCCGACGAACAAGTGGAGGACTGTGGGATAGGTCTCCGACTTCATCCATAAACTCCCTTCGAGCAATGGTTGTCCGTCTGAAACCCCAGGACTTTCTAACCTGTGACAAGGTTGGCCTAACACTCGATTCTGCATCTTCTGACTGGCTCTGCTGTTCTTCTGTAGAAAGACAGAAGCAAACTGAATTTGAAAAAAGAACTGACATCTCCTTCTTGCAACAGTCCATTTAAACAACAAACAGACCTGCTGTACCTGAGTTATTATCACTATCAGTGACATTTTTATTTTCCACTGGCTCCATGCTGACATCCATAGGCAGCAATGCTGTCCAGACCTAGAAGAAAATGTAGTGTACACTTTAAAGAGAATATTTACTACTGAGCAGGTTCATAAGTGCTTAATTTAGAAGGATGGGTACCTCTACAACCTATATGCAGGTGACTGCCAAAGCCAAATGTTTTCAAGACATGAATAGTGTTCACTTGGCTCTTCATGTACCTGTGAAAAGTACGGTGGAAAAAACACCAAAGCATCTGCATTAAATGATAAATACAGGATAAGCAAGAAACATTTAGTTAAAAAGTTCAATGTAATTGCAGTATTGACAGTCATGCAATACAGTGGCTTTGTGATAATAATCCTACTCTCAAAACAGAGTTAATTTTGTGGAATCTGGTAAGATGATGTTTTGATGAAACAACTGTTGAATTGATTTGTGCTACTGTGTACTGTATTATAATGGGAATTTCTAATGATTCATTAGCACCACAAACAATTTCAACTAACACTAAACAACATAATATTTGTGGAGGTTAGATGTACTGCAAGTCTTTTATATTAAGACTGCATTGATTTTAGTTACAAAACAACAACGTTATGACCCCAACTCAACCAAACTAGCTTGGAGCTTCACTCTAACCCATCTTATAGATGAAGACAAGAAAGGTGTAACAAATAGATTTGATAAAATTAATATTACTGGAAACAGCACATTTGCTAGGCAGAATATAGGTACATTTACTTCAGTACTGTACCTGAGAACATTCTAGCGGTACTTGTACTTTACTTGAGTATTTCCGTTTTATGCTAAGATGTCATGCTCAATTAAATCGCAATGTTTTACAGCCTGTTAGGATGTAAAACTTTGAAATACGTTTCGAACTAGGGCTGCACATTAAGTCATCAGTAAAATAAACACTAATAATATGACAAATGCAACTGCCAATTAATGCTGACATTTTACTTAATGAGTACTTTAGATTTGAATACTTTGGGGGGATAAAAGCTATGTTGCTTTACACAAGTTTTGGACCTGCTTGGAGCATTTGTATACTGTAGTAGTACTACTTTTACCTAAACAAAACAGATCAGTTCTTCTCCTTCCACTACACGTTTGTAAAGTTATGTTAAGCACCACTTCCCCAGTGCTGCACATAATTTATATTTTAAATGCCTTAATTTATGAGTACAGAAGTGTAAGGATGGCTGTCCATATATTTCAAGTCTAAGTGTTGGCTGAACATTAATTTTTATCAAATGTGACTTTAGGACATTAATTTAGTGAGGGATGCTTGGAACAATATGTTACTACTGAGCAATTTCAGTGTCAAATTTGGGAATTCCCAATTGTTTAAATAACAAGATGTGCTAGGTGTTAGTGGTAAATCTAAGTCTAGTGTTCTGTAGAGGTCTAAAGGCTACCAACATTTGCTCACATAGCAAAACTGGTCCTGGGAAAATGGGTCATTTTGGTACAGACTTATCATACCAAGCAATATGCAGGTGCGAAGTCCACAGTTTCCCTTACTTTAAATTTAACTGACAGTGGTTATTAAAACAGAAACGAAACAAAAGGCCTTACTAATTTAACTACCAGTCGACCGTGAAACCACATATACGAAACGTCCGTGCTCGGCAACACCGCAAGTAACTCCATGAAAGCAGCAAAGAGTCCTGTTTCTGGTAGCGGCCGACATTGTTCTCTATAGCTCTTTAAGCTAACCGCTAAAGTTAGCAGCTTCACTATCCGGTAATAAAGGCAATACGCTGCGAAGCTAATTGTCTACAACAATACCGACTAAAGTATTACATACTGCAAGCTCGTATACAGCCACAGAATTCATACCTTAGGTGTAATTTATAATATTCCCGTTACGTTTACAATCGCTCAGCTATCCAGCTAGCACAGCCCTTCCATTTTCTTTACCTTGCTAAAACGTAATCTCGCGAGAACTGGTCACAAGCGGAAAACACCGTGGTTTCTCGTTTATCGATTTACTGCTTAAGTTCATCAGAATCAGAAATACTTCATTGATCCCCGAGGGAAAATTGCTTATGTTACAGTTGCTCCCATTCAAGGTCTTAGAAATATAAACAGTACATGATATATAGATAAACATACGGAGACAAATATGGCCTAAAAATATAAGCATAAGTAGAAACAGTACGAATATCAATGTAAGATGTGCCTTTTTTTCTTTTTTAAGAAATAAAGTGTAAGGAATCAGTAACCATTAGACCTGCTGAGATTTCTATAGGTCTGACACTAAGAAACAAGATTTTTTTTCTTCTTCTTCTTCTTCTTCTTTGCATTACTGATAGTCTGGGTTATTTTATGGATTGATAGGCAAAAACAAACCTTGGCTTTCCTATTCCTTTTTTGGTTACAGAGCTTGTTAAATTTTTTTGTGAGAAAAAAATGTTTACTGAAAGCATGCATAATAATGCTGTGTCAATGCACACAATTCAATTTGTGTACTGTAACTGAAATAACGCATTCATTCATTCAATGTGCACTGCACAATCTGATTTATTTTCAATATTTGGTTTGGTTTCTAGCTATGTTGAGGACAAATTAAAGAACTTGCAAACTCCAACTTTACAAGTGCATTTTTATTTTTTTCTTCACGATTCCATTTATTTTATGTACAATATGTAAACAAGAACGAGACACAAGCTCAAAACAGACATGCTCACAGGAAATAATATCCAGCCAAAATGCAGTTTCTATGTTTGTCACCCCAGTTCTTAGAGTCTGACCAGGATTAACATCAGCTTTGGGTAACCGGTTCAACAGAGCTCAGAGCTGACATTCATGTGAAGTAATTTACTTTCAAATAACTTTATTTAGACACATAGAAATGTGATTTCAATAAACATACTATAAAAACATATAACACTATAAATATTGTTCAGGTATCTTCTTACAAAAATCTTTGTACAGTTTACATTTTTTAGTTCTTTTTAATAAATCAGATAGTTTTTTTTTTTGATGTAGGCCTATGCAACGTGGAACTACAATACAAAACTGGTATGAGACAAAAATGCCACCACTGACATGAAGACGACATGGTTGAAATATAATCTTTGAACTTGCATTACTCAAAACACCTCGGTCAACACAAAGCAGATGTGGTTTAAACCAAAGATGAAACTTGCATAACTATATATCTCTGATGGCACCATGAATAATGTATGTCAGCTGTTGTTCGCTGTTCAAAATGTTTTGTCTCGCAATATGGAGAGCAATTAACACAATAAAACAGCTGTGAAGTACTTAAGAGCAGCATTGAAAGTGATAATGTAGAAAATGTGGGTTGATACAATCTTGCTCAGAGCTGAAAAAGTGGTAACAGAGCTACAACATAAAACTACAGTATGAAAACATACAGACTCACATTTTATTTCTCAACACAGACTACTTTCACAAGGTGCATTCACCTGAACACAGATGCGGAAACCGTGAATGAGCAGTGAACCACAAAATGTCCACCAAGCAGTTGTACATATGGGAATGGAAAAATCAAAATGATTTGTCACAGAGGTGCAGGCCTTTAAGCACCAAGTTTTGAGGCTACGAGCCCCACAGCGGCCTCGCAAAATGTGTCTGTATGTTGTAGCAGTTAGGTCACAGTAACACCAGCGCTGTCCTTGTTTTTGTCCATGTATGTGGGAGAGTTGCTTTTGTCTGATATTGACCCTGCACCTGCGGGTAGGGTCTGTGTGGCAGGAGAGTGGCCTGATGGTTTGACTGAAGGGTCCGAGTTGGGTTCTGCCTCTGGTTCCTGCTGTGACGCGGTGGCTGGAACGAAAAACAAAACATAACATGAGAGCGTGCACACTGTCTGGTTGTGTTGGTCTGCAGAGTGTGCTTCTTATCCTGCAGGTCAGATAAGAGGGGAAATGTCTACAGTTCACAGTGATAAGATAACATTTTGTATTTATCATTGCAAAGTCACGCTATACTTTTTGGGGCTAAGTGACCATAGGGATGGATTTATATGTGGACAGTTGAGGAGGACAGACTGCTCTGGGGATTATTTCATGTTCATTCAAGTTGGCATAAAAATAACCAAAACAGCCAAGGAGCTGCTTTGAAATTTTAAGCAAGAATGATAAAGAAGAATTTTTTGTTCAATTCAAAACTGAAATGGTATCAAATAATCCTTCTATAAAAATACAGTCGCTTGTCAGACTTTAGTGTGAGTGTACACAGGTTATTGTTCAGTTAAATCCAGTGATCCAACCTTGTGAGAGAGCTCTATATACTTAATATATAATCAGTAGGAGATTAAATGTGTCAGACACATCATCTTTTGAAAAATACGCTGAAAAACCCAGATGACTAAAGTCAAGTAACAATATTATTGTGATTTGCATATTATTACATAGCATTCTACAATATATGGCTTCTCTTGCAGAATACGTCACCTTCTGATAAGTGCAACGTCATAGCAATGGGTCCTGCATGTCAAATTACATGTTACTTTTACATTATGAAACTTGATTAACACATACTGGATGCTTCATTTGCAAAAGAACACTGAGGAAGATGACCTATCCTGCCTATAAATTAACTTTAAATCAACTTCAGCATAATGTTTTTGTGTCATCCCCATCCTAGTATCTATTGGTTATTGTAAAATCTACTCAACAGCAACATACTTATATTTGTGGATTCATTTTTAAAACATGATCTTTGTGTGGCAGCTTTGTGCATTACAGTGCCAAATATCAATCGACGACAGAGGTTAGTTACTTTAACAAAGCAGCTTAGCGATGCAAAGTTAATCGATGTATTGCCTTACAAGCACGTTTACGATACCTGACTGTGTGCAGGACTTCATGTGCTCTGGCCAGTGCGCCTGCTGGCAGGGATAATCACAGTAACTGGTATTCCAGCAGCAGTAGAAAATAGCCTCTTTCCTGCAGTTGGCACACCACTGTTTCTTTTTGGTCTCGTCCACTGCCTGCTGCTTCTCCAGCTCCGTCTGCTTTTTCACCTCAGCCACCAATCTTTCTCTTTCCTGCTCCAGACTCTGCCTCATCTCTGCCATTGTCAGTTCTGCATCGAAGTGAGACAAAAACAAATAACTTGAGATTCATGCTTTGTGTCAAAAAGAAACATCTGAAATTATATGACTTTCAGAACAAAAACTGGCTGCAGAGTACATAAACTCTCAGAGGTGTGGTGACATACTTTCTTGGAAGCTGGAGACTTACCCAGATTGTGCTTCATCTCCGACAACTCTTGCTGATGCAGCCACTGGAGCTTCTCAATCTCTATCCTTAACCGTCGAATCTGTAGCAAACAAAAAGAAACAGTAATTAAAATCTCATAAGTATTAATACAACACAACAAAAAGCAAATCTGTGAATGCTAGTGTTTACCTCTGCAATTGTGTTTCCTGATGTGCTTTTGGAAAGATCATTGTAGATTTCAGTCATTGTCCCCTTTATTGTGTCCATGATCTGCAAAGTTTCAGCAAAATCATGTAATTTTAGAATTAAAGTACATCGTTTTAACTACTTTCAGACCATAAAAATGAAATCAACCATGCAGTTACTAAATTCATATAAAGTGAAATTGGTTCTTAGCTGTTTATACATTTTTGTGCTTTTTCCTTACATGATGACAAATTCAATGAATCCCAATCAATGCAAAGTTCTAATCTGCGCTTTTAAACAGTGAGGACGAGGGCTGAGGGCTTTAACTTACTTTGTTTGTGTATTTGGCTATGTCTGCAGCTACGTCTGCTGAGACAGTAGGGATCTGCAAGTCTCCTGACATGAAAGAAGAGCTACCAGATGCAGCCTGGGTAGTTGACGAGGACGCATTCTGAGGCGGGTCTTTATGTTGAACTGTAGAGAATGACAATAAGTAAACTTAGAGGGACATTTAGCTTCTTTATATACACTTTTATTATGTCATGTTATGTTGAGAATAATAATTACAGTGGTGTATTTACCCTTGACTGATTGTCTAGTCTGATAGCGAGTGCTTGAGGATGAGTTCTGCTGTTGTGACTGCAGCTGCTGTGGGCTCCGCGTCTGCCCCGGACCCGGGGCCGGTGTCTGCACGGCGGACTGCTCGCCCTGCTGCTGCTGCTGCCTCTGCACCTTCTGCATATGCCACTTCTGAGAGGACGTTTGAAACTTGGTCGGATTCCAAACCACTGCCCGCTGCACGGCCTGAGCGGTCTCTTTAGGCAGTAGAGGGCGCTGTTTCTTCACAGCTGTGGGCACTGGGGCTGTTGCAGAGGCAGGAGAGGGGGCACTGGTAGATCCACTGGTCGTTGTGGTGGCGCTGGGCTGACCAGAAGCTGCAGTGGAAACAAGGTTGAGTGCCGCTGTGATTGAAGGTTGTAATGCCTCTTTCAGGTTGGAAGAAATGTCACGTGCTGGTGCAGTTGATGCAGCAGACGAAGGCAGTTTACCTAAGCAGAAAAAAAATGGATATATTGTTCTTTCAGGGCGAGACAGTTTGGGTTTCTAAATCAAGCACTTCAAAACCTACAAGATTTACATGAAGAATTACAATTGAAAATAGTTTTGTAGAATGTTACATTACACTTGTACTCAAAGAGAGAGATGAAAGACTGAATAAAATATTATGAAAATGTGAAAGTATCATACATTGTGGGCTTTAACTGTACATTTTTCTATCCAAACCAAGAGTAAAGGTAGTTTGTAAAATGGAACTTTAGGAAAAGGATGATGGTAATGTTTGAATTCTTGGTATCTATTGTAGTTTACATGTCTCTGGTCCATGGACTATAAATACAGTTCCATGTGTTACACACACATTGATGAAAAAAAAAAAACTGCAAACAAACTCA